ATTTGTGGATTTAAAATATTTGGGCTTACTCATTGGAATCATGTGGAATTGTTTGTACAAAAATATACAAACAACCGACTATACAACATTTTGTTGATACATCAGATGAAACCCGTGCTACGAAACGAACACGATTCTGTAAAAAAGTTATTATTCTGGCTCTACGTCTTTCGGAAACATTGTATAAACGTATACAATCCACAATAAAATAATTACATAAAGTGATGAAATGCTGGACTGTTGAAAACAAACACCAACCGCACACGATTGTGTAGCTGCGTCTTTTTTAGACTTTGTGTTCAAAATGTTGAAAACCTCCCTTGAAAGAATTACTCAAAGTGATGAGACGCCAGGTTTCACAGCCAAAAGGCTGGTAAAAGGTTTGGTAAATCGTGTTGGAATGAAGGGCTTAAAATCTTTATATCTCTTTCCTTGGAGTGGCAAAATGCAACTGCAAGTTTTACCTCTTAAAAGGCGTACTCTTGCGTGGCTGTTTTCTTCGAAAACTGAAAACAACGTATTTAACTTCGTTAAACCGAGGTGTATTGAATTAACAAGTTATTTTCAAGGGAATATTCTATTTAATTTTTATGATTATTTTTTGCAGCTATGCAATCTAAAATATTCAACTGTAAATCGTTCAATATTCACATTGACGCGACAATGAAATAGATTTTTTGTGAAGATTGTTGTCCGTACCTGTGACCGTACCACGGAAAATGTGTTTAGTCCCTTGCTAACCAACTTACCCATAGCTTCTATTATAAATACTTGACTACAATGTCAAATGATTGCATTTCAAACCTCAATTTTCAGCTTATTTGATTCTAAATGCTTTACCTTTTTGTGAAAATTCATTTATTTTTTGATAAATGGCTAAATAAATACAAACTTCATCGTTTTCTGCATATACAATATTATATTTCATCACTAGGGTCTTCATTAGAAAACTACAACCGCTCAAAGAAGTAAGTTGAATGTGAGATTTGATTCAGTCAATATTGATGACTCCCAAACGGAAAGTATCAGGAAAAGGAAATGGACGAGAGGGAGAGAATAAATACATCGTTGATTTATTTGAAACTTCTGACTTTTTTAGAGAAGGTTATTAGAATAATATAATTAATTTGATAAAGCAATATTAAAATGTATCGCTTATACAAGAACAATAACAGCAGGCTTAGTTCATCACGAAGTTAATTTGGGTTTTTAGAGTTGATTAAAATTCCGTATTTTTGAGTTGGTTCGGTCTAGTAAACCTACAAGGGTTTAGTTAGGAAGTATAGTTTGTGGTTTGTCTGACAGGGCTTCTAGACTGGAGGCTCGGGCTCAAGTCCAGCCAATCGCCAACTTTTATGTATGGTTATGCCATAACTGGTGCTAGGACCAAATTAAGCTTAAAGCCCATCTATCTTGTATGTTAGAAAATAAACATACAACACATCCCCTATCTAGTAGTTTTTTCAACGTTTTATAAGGGTCGAAGTACCCTCTCTGTATTTAGGGAAAAATAACAAATATGCAATAAAATTCTTCCTTATGGTGTAATATACCTCCATCAACATTATTCTTTGGGTCATTGCTGTAAAATGCCAGATTTGTAAGAAATTTAATCATTTTCTTTAATAATTTGTCATATTACAGTTTTTATTAACACTTGCTATGTCCATAATACTTATAATATCGTATTTCATTACCTGAAAACCTGTTTTAACTATTTATACCAGTTCCTCTCAGTGGAGTATTGAACAAATACAGTTACAATTTCGATTCAGATATTCTGCCGCCAATCAATGTCCAACAATAGGCTCGTGCTGCTGAAATGTAGCTTCGTTGTGGGAAACCCTGCAGCGAACTTCTTGAGTTATCGAAATCTTCACGTCCTACAATACACAATCAGTATCCATAGCACTTCAATAGAATTGTTTTATTGTTACCGTTGCCTAGCAACTATTTATTATTATTTTTTGTGATTCCTAAAATTTAGTTTCTTCACATAACCTTAAAGTTGTAGCTGTGTTGACTGTTAGTGTACATTATTATTGTGTTGAATAGTGGTAATAGGGTATAGTGTGGTGAAAAATAGCGTTCGTACCACGGGCCGAAATGGTTTTGCAGCTCTCGATCGATTTAAAATTCTCGACTTCGTCTCGAACTTAAAAACTATCTCGAGCCGGCAAAACCTCATTTTCTTCCCTAGGTACGAAATATACTATTACGCTTTTACATAACATAAGGGTGGTAAGTGTAGTAATTTTGTTTAGGCCTATAAATAGGCCTAAATAAGAAGTCCTCTGAAATATCACCACTAAACAAAAGCATAAATACAAAGTTGTGAAATGGGTTTGAAGGAAGAATGCAAGACGCCTTTTGTGTTTTTTTACTGTTCAAGAGTAGTTGGGCACAATTTTTAACATCAAAAAGCTGCTGACTTGCTTTTTGAATATTTCGTTTTCTGAAGAGCATTCTTAAAAAAGAATCAGCTATCTGATTAGAAGGTGTGTACTAAAACGTAACCATAGTTAGCATAGGTACTATAAGACGTATGAATTACTTAAAATGTTACTCGGCGTTTTAGCGATGCTAGATGCATTTAAATTTGTAATTTTTTTCTCCGTAACCATTACATGCATAACAATTCGGTAGCTAATTAATTAGTTTTTTAAACTTCTAAGTCATTACTTGGGTGAATTTTATAATACAGTATTGCCAATAACTATACTGTATATCATTGCAAATGGCATTGCCCTGGTATATGCGTACCTCATGGACATAAGTGACAATGTTACACTTTCGAACCATCAAAAAGTTGAATGACTTTTCACTTTTCTCGAAACGAAACCTGCCATCTGATTATCAGGCGAGCGCCTACAACCTCTCAGCTACCGAACTATAACTTGAAAAAATTTAGGTAAATTAAGGACTATTAAAGAACTAACGAGCTATCGTTAAAGAGCTAATAAAATTGGGCAGCACTCAGCACAAATAGTAAAACACCTGTATTTTACAGCAACGTGAATGTCTTCGTAATGACTACAGTACAGTCAATAAGGAAGCATATGTTTTCACAGTCAAACTGATTGTACTAAAAGCCACCTGGGACTACGCCCTCGCTCCATCATGTCCCTTTTTATTTCCCCCATTTCCCGTTCCTCCCCCACGTTTGCACCCCTGCGGTGGCGAGGGTTGCCCAGAGGGTGACAACAGTTGCCAACACTGATAACTATTGCCCAATAAGCTTCCGTCAACAGGCAAGTCTTGAGTGCTTTCCCAGGTTACCGCTCAAGTGTTTAAATAAATCGTGTATGGTTTGTCTCGATGTTGAAAATACGAAGAAGAATCATGTAAAAAAACTTAGGCAACTTTTTTATATTATAAATTGTTTACACATGTAAATTTGTTCTTTAACTGTATGAATGAAACAACTGGTCACTACCCCAGTGCATTGCAACATTCTTTATTAGCCTAATATAATAAAGAAAGCTTAGACAAACCCCGTTAATACTACTAATAATTAATTATGGGGAATGAGCTGGACTAGTGGTAGAGCGCATGACTTCGGTCCTTGAATCCCATGTTAAAAATGTTTAACTTAAAATCCTACCAATTATAACAATCAATTTCATCTAAGTGTTAATGCCACAACCCTCTAGGCCCAACCTGAAGTAATGTGTAAAGTGTTTCCCGGGTAGAGCCTACGCCTTAGGATATGAACGGGGAACGGGGGACATAAAAAAATCACACTGACATATATTTGATGTTATAACTTCCAGAACCATCGCTGATATTTACAAGAAACCCCCCAAAAACAGATGTTTGGGGTAGAAAAATCAACTCCGGTAGACCGGTACACGTTTCTTCGACGTTTAATAAGAATCGAAATTCCCTGCATTGCGTTACGTAAAAGTTTGGTGAGAGATTTCACCAATAACATCAACAGAATTTCTAGCATTCTCCTGCTGCCCCGAATCCTATATTATTCATTGGGTTGGTAGGTTATTCTAGCTAAGGAAACAACTTGACTTAGCCATTAACAAATTCACTTACAAAAAACCACAACATTTCATTCTATACCACCACCTTCACTCCGGATACAAATTTCCATTCGCCATAAAATGTGCAACTGTTGGGGTTAGTAGTGATTAAACCCCACAAAAAATATCAGAATGATTACAGTGAAAAATTAACTTAAGCCTTCCGTTGTGGAATACCGTATTTATTTTTAAAACACACTGCCTTCATTGTAACCCTCATACTATTTCGTTTGGATTCGTTTGGATTTAGTGATTGTCTAGATGTTCATTATTTATAGAACATTACTGACAAAACCACCATGTTATCAAGAAAAACTTATATTTTTAACTGCACAATACTTGAGCGGTTAGGTATGCTAAACTATCGATCAAAAGTGTGCCCCAAGTTCGCGTATAATGCGATTGCCTCGGGTTCTTTGATCCCCTAGTCTCTCCCCCCCCCCCCCCCCCCGCTACACCCAAACCCCAACGTTGCATCCTCAATTGGAGTTTAACTCAAGCATCCCAACTAAAGTCACTCTCCCGACTCTAGAATTTCCAATGAGTTTTCTAACCTGAGCTTAATGTAGTCAACCGTACATAATATCTTACTTTAATTAATTGTACCGGGTGTCCCACGAAGAGGTCCCTATTTGTGAATTAAAACCTACTTTTATTTAAAATATCTTCTAGAATAATTTCTTTGATATCCCGCCATTTTGTCCTAATGTATCAGAATTAACTGATACTCAGGGGCATTTCTTTTACATATGAGTATGTTTCAGGTTGTTCAGGACTGTTGAGTTTGAGGTTTGTAGAGTGTTCGGTGCGTCTAATATAGTAATTCAAAAATAGGGATCTCTTCGTGGGACACCCGGTACATTGTATGTGTTAAGGTGAAGTGGTTTGATAAAACTTATAAGTTTATATGAAAATAGTGCTTGTTTCAAGTAAATAGATAAAAAACAGTACATGATCTGTCCACAGGATGTGGTCGGCTGTAGCTACGAGTCCTGGAGCCGCAACGCCGCCCTCTCGGTCTAAACACTCCGCCACTCTCCTCGGCACCTACGTGTACCTCCTGGGCGGCAGGAACGGAAACTTGCCTCTCAAGGACCTGTGGAGGTACAGCCTAGGTAAGTGAAGCAATCCAAAGGTTCAATTTACAGTCAAACATTAAAGCCAGTAAGTTATTGTTTGTACTTGTTAATTTTTGAATGTTGATGATATTATTGATGAACTGACAAAAAAACTGTCCGACGTGTTGGCTGTGCTGTACGAGTACTATGGGACAGTTGAATCAGTTAAATTTGAAGTCTGCCTTGAAAATGGATTGTTGCAGCAACACATCCAGTATTTTTGTCAGTTCACCAACATGGTCGTCGACCGCTCCTTCTTTGAAGAATCTGTTTTGTTAAACCATTTTATAGGAATTCCCATACAAGAAACAAATACTGCCAAACAGATTATTCCTAGTTTTTTACTGTCACAGGAATAATCTGTGTGATGATACTAGAGAGATGAATAAGATGGAAAGGGGGCCATTCATAGCTTTTAGTAGATTTTAGTTATGGGCTTCAAATTTGAGTTAACAACCGCTTATCATAAGTTACATAGCCACAGTTTACTGTGACTGCCTCTTCATATCTATTTTGTGTTTTTACCTGGAGGCATTTGTTTACGTTTTTTTGTGAGTAAACAGCCCAAACCATGATCTTGTTACTGTCTAACGTGTAACACATCTCTTTACTTGTTACAGAAGAGGGACGATGGGAGCTTCTCAAGCCAGGAGGTGACTCCCCACCTTGTCTGCAGGAACACTCCGCTGTAGCCTACAGAGAATGTCTCTACGTCTTTGGTGGCGAGTTGGGGTTCTCTGCTGGCAATGAGACACCTCTCTGGATCTACAACATCAAGGTACAACTTTTCTCCACCTAGTGAATGTAGTGTCGTTTATACACGTCTTCAATATGTTTTCAAGTAAAAAAACTACCATGAAAATATATTGAAATTCCTTGTAAGATGATACTTGACAATTTTACCACGATATAACGGAAGATTCAACTTGCTCTATATTTTTTGCAGTGTATTCCTGTAGTTCCTAGTTTGTGCAGATGACCTCAGCAAAACAGCACCATCAAACTTGGTTTCCATCCTCATTCATCTCCCTCCACTCCACCTCTTTCCTTCTTCTTTTATTTCCTTTCAATTGTCCTTCTCCAGGTTGGCTTAAGACTTCTCTTCGTTGTCCCTGATTAGAATCCAGGACCGGTAATTTTATGGCATCTTGCTCTTTTCGTTGGGCATGACTTATCCACTGCCTTATTATTATTTTTTGTGTTATTTGCTATATGCTTTGCACTAAGCAGCGATCCATTGCTCCTGGTGATTTGAGAAAACATCTCAAATCCTTAAAATGTCGTAATTTTAACCTCGTTAGCCATCTCTCTTATTTTCCACATTGGGTAATGTTCTATTAATACAGCATTCAATCATGGCCAAATAATTGATTTGGTGCAGCAAAAATGTAAACAACTATTGGTACCAGTTTTTATCTTCAATTACAAAAAATAAAAAAATATATACTACTGTATATTGAATTTAGCAGCTTGCATGTTTCGTCCAAGTTTTTATTCTAGTCTCTCATACATTTCATATTACTGTAATTCCTCAAGAAATGCACTACAAGCGAGGCCAGATAAACGGCAGGCGTTCCTCAGCAAAGTTTGCATGTCACAGGAAACCAAGAGTCGTTTATCATCAAAAGCAAGTTGACTAAAGAAACGTTGCCGCAAACAATACTTAAGCTACGCCCACAATTAAACTGAAAGCCTTTTCAATTTCCTGACTGTTAAGGATTTTTTCTCTTAGAAGATCACCTTTTCTTAAATTATTATAGAAGAATTTTCATTAAAATATCACCTAAACTAAACCACTGCCATACGCTCCTTTTGTACCTTTACTGTCACATATACCCTACCATACAACTTTAAAAAAATAATTTAAAAAAGATTTAAGTAGGCCTAAATAACTAATATTAATTTTGTGAAGTTAATCCTCAATGATTGCAACAGAATAACACTTTTGCTATGCCACTTCTAGCTCTATCATAAGAAATGAATTTTCCATGTAATTTTTTATTTACACAGCGGAGATTTGTCAAGGCAATTATTTTTCTATAGTTACGAGCTAATTTCACTATAGAACAATTTGTTTGTAGTATTTATTGTTCTGTTTAAAGTAAACAAATTTTAAGGTATTTATGATGAATAAGTAAATATTTCAACAAGGTATGTAATCCCAAATCCACCACCCCAAAATAACATTTTCACCACACTACGGTGTTTTTAGCCGCTTTGTTATTGGAGGCCGAAAGCTACGTATTGCTGTCAATGCCAGCTGCCATAGTTATTTGGGGGTCGAATAGGTTTTTACATCCCCAGGGCCGAAAATCAGCTGTTCACTTACTTAAAACATTAATGCATATTAATACACAATCAGTATCCATAGCACTGCAATAGACTTGTTTCATTGTCACCGCTTCCTAGCAACTATTTATTATTACTATATAGGTCGTCCAGTGGTCGAAAACACGACCAAAAATATGTAATGTACTGAACAGACTTCTCTATTATTCACACCACGCCGTAAATAAAACATGTGATTGGAATTTATTCATTTGTTTTGATTTTCGGTTTATATTTCATTGTTAGTTCGTTACCAGCATTGAAACCCAAAAGGCCCTTATTAATTTTTTTTTTCAAATTTAAATTAATTTGTTGTGCTTATTTTGAGCCTATTTTAGTTTATGAAGGGATTCTGCACATCTATATGAAAATATCTTTCTAACAGTACCTATGCGTGGATTTTCCCAGCGATGCACACACGAGCTGAGAAAAAAGGTTTTAAAGAAACATGCTTGCCTATTAATACATAGATTTTTGCTGATTCCTCAAATAATTTCTTTACATAACCTTAAAGTTGTAGTTGTGTTGACTATTAGTGTGCATTATTATTGTGGTGAATAGTGGTAATAGTGTGGTGAAAAATAGCGTTCATACCACGGACCGAAATGCTTTTGCTTTTGAGTTAAAAACAAACTCAAGCGGGCAAAACCTAATTTTCGGCCTTAGGTACGAAATATACTATTTTGTTTATGCTTACAAGTATTAATCATGAAACAATCAAACAAAACATGTTTATAGGCAGTCATAAAATCCATCTAATATCACCCGGATGATATTAAGAGTTAGAGCTGAAAATAAAAGGTGAACTCGTAACAAAGGGTGTTATTAATATCAAGTTTTGCACAGGAGGTAACAGCAAAACCCCTTATATAAAACACCAACTGTCAGGTAGAACAATTAAGTAAGAGACAGCGATGGTAAGGGATGGTAAGGGGGTTGGAGGAGACTGAGGCAGACAGAACAGACATTTATTTCTTTTACTCACGAAAGCCACAAACTCGAGATTTAACACCACCTTTGCAAAATTAACACTAGTTATGATTATATTTTTTTTATTTAGCTGTATATTTTAGTAATGCTTTTTAAAATTATATTAGTTTTTATCATATTTAGATATGCTGACAGGCCCTTATATCTCATTACATGCTTATAGCATGAAAGCAATTGAAAAAAATAGGGGCGGCAAATAAAGGTATTTGTAACATCAGAAGAAAATAGTAGCCTATTAAAAGGGAAAACATGTGCCAGAAGAGGTTAAAACATCTACAAGCCCAAAAAAGATAAATTTATCTCTAGATTTTTTTATCTACAAATTGTGCTGTTTTAGCGAATTTTCCTATAGGGAAGTAGCTACCGTAGGTCTCATGGTAAGACCTACTAGTAGGCCCGGGACCGATTTACTTTTTCATTTTGATGTCCCCAGAGGCATCAAATTTGCATTTTGCTTGAATACAAAATTTTAATGTGTGACTTCCTTCATTTCTGTTTTAGATCATGTTTGTTGTATTTGAAAACATTACTTGGCTAACAAATATCATGATATAAGAAAAGGTGGCCTATAACCTCAATGTTCAATGTAGCTTTAAAATGAGATGTTTTGCAACTTTTTATCTTAATAAACAAATGCCGTATTATGATTCAACCATTAAAATTGTCACTATGTGCAGAAAATCCAAGATGAACGGTGGTCCTGCCGGCTCTTCTAATCATATTAATGGAGAGCAGTTGTAAGATTAGTATGACCTGGCACACTTTTTAATTACACTCCAGATTAACCTGGGGTTGATATTTGACCTTGAGCCACTAGTTCAGGCCATAAAGCCCTGCAAGTTGGCCACTCACTTTTAAGGCATCACTGTTGCCGCACTTATAATTAGGTTTGAATACTTTGAATGTATACATGTGACTTTAAAAACTTTAGAAGTTCTGGAGTTCTGTGTATTTTACCGATGCTTCTATGTAAATTAATGAATTTTACCAGCTCAAATGAGATTTAAGATTCTAGTATTGTAGCCTAAACAATGATGATGCAATTCATCCCCAATTCACTCCCCTCCCCAGAAAAACAATCTGTTTATGGCCTCTATATAAGCTACATATGCATACATAAAAATAAGGCTTTTATAATGAATAAATGTTATATAAAAAAATAAATGCAATAGTTCAACTAAATCTGTATGTAAATTGTATCTTCACACCTTAAATCAAATTAAACACATTATTTGAATGCATATAATTATGTACTTTGCATAAATCACTAAAACAAAATCAATACCAAACCAAAACATGAATGTAGGCCTACAGTTGTAAAAACTCTAATGCTTATATATGTAATTTACAGATTCAAACTAAAACTAGATTAAACTAGGATAAAAGTATGCCACAAAGATCATTGAAGGTAAGACAAAACAGTGTATTTGACTGCAGCAGTGTGTAAAGTAACCAGGTCAACAACTTTGTCTGCCAAAGCTGAAGAGCTTGAGATAGGATCTGATGGCTTGACTCAGCTAATCCTTCAGCTTGGCAAGTTTGCTGACTTGTGATAGTGCTCACTTGATACTTTTTTACTTGGTTAAGTTAAATTAAAATCTACAGTAATAAAAAAAACCTGTTCTGGGGGAGAAATTTAAAGCACAAACTGTTGCTCAAACAAAAGAAAAAATAAACCTGTCACTCAAAACTAAAAAAAGTTATCAGTAAAAACCTGTTGCCCTCAACAAAAATTTCATAAATGAATCTGTTACTGAAAGAATTGTGTTTGAAATAAATATATTGCTTGAAATCAACGACAAATATACTTTTTTTCTCAATGTGGTCAATGAAGCAAAACAATAAACGTATATATTATTAGATACTTTTTTAACAACTTGTATTCTTGCTTAAAAAGTTATGTCCAATTTTATAACTTGCAATCTGCTGATTATTACAATACATAAATTAATTAGATTAATATGTGCTCGTCCACACCACTGTATTGCCTGGACTAGTAGACTGTATTTTTGTAACCTACAATATAGGTGGTAAATGCTTTAATTATACCAAAAGAGTAAAGATAGTCCTACTAAGATAAATAAATTTCACTTTCAAAATTAATAAATTACTCATATGTTTTTTTCAGTCTTACTTTTATGTGATATAAAAATATGATGACAAATAAAAAGTATTTTTCACCACACTATGGTGTTTTTGGCTGTATTACATACGTTAATTGGTGGCTGAAAGTTACGTTTTGCTGGCCATGCCAGCTGTCATCGTAATTTGGGGACCGAGCAGGTTTTTACAGGCCGGGGCCGCAAAATCAGCCGTCCGCTTACTTAAAACATGAATGCATTTTAAATACACAATCAAAATCCATAGCATTGCAATAGAATTGTGTTATTGTCACCGTTGCCTAGCAACTATTTATTTTTATTTTTGCTGATTCCTCAAATTATATCTTCACATATCCTT